AAGTTGCGAAAATTAAACTTTTTGTCTTACCTAATGTAAGAAGCCTTCTCCCTTGTACCTGACTGTGATGCACACAATCCTCCTTGCCAAGAAAGTTCCATCCGTGTTATTCCTCTCTTGCCAATTGAAATGCGTAATCCACTCATTATTCCAGTTTCAAAAGTCCACTTGCTGTCACGGTGACGGATGACAAATGCGACTTTGCAGTTTTGCATTTTTTGTATCTCGCGTCAACTTGCATTATAATTTAGACTGTTTGCCCGTTTGGATTATAATAACGATTGCTCGTCCAGTGCCATGCTGACGTTAGCTTTACTTATTTGCTATCATCTCTGTGCTCTCTGAGCCGAGTCTTAGCAAAAATGTTAGATATAACAACAAGACGGTTCATTCATAATATTATTTAAAAAATAATCAATAACTCGCATCACTCATGAAGGTATCCATTATCACCATGCGTCTGCATTAACTCCGCCCACTCTGCTTCTAATGACGTCGCTCGTGTTTTTGTTTTTTTGCCCACCTTATTTCAAATTACCGACTCTCACTTTTCTCATCCTAATTTTACAAGTTGAAAGTTACAAAACAACACATGCACAGCGCTGACTGACTCTGAAAACGGCCGGGTGTTCTCCGAGTCCGATCGACTCTGGTATTACACACAATGTTAAACGGACCCGGGACCCGAAATAATGGATTGGGACCCGACCCGGACCCGGCTGACCATTTAAAATATAGCCCCGAACCCGTACGGATCCCGGGTCGGGTTCCGGGTCCTCGGGTCTCGGGTCCTCCGTGTAGACCTCTACTTTGGAGTGAGCAGGGCACGTGCGTGCCATTATGTAGCCGTTGGAATGCACTGGGCAAAGGGAGCGATGTAATTTCCTCATTATATTCAGCTGGCAGCACGGCGTCCGTCAGCAGATGTCGCTGTTTTAATGGCATAAATGTCTTTTTATTGTTGTTAGCATGACTGTTGCAAATAAACATACATTTGATATTTTAAGAAGTTTTTAAAAATATGCTATATAATATATACAAACTAATATATAAAACTTTTTGTTGAAGAATAAAAGCGTCTGTCTGTTTGTTTTTGTGTGTGTGAGTGTGTGTCTGTGTGTCTGTGTCTGTGTGTGAGTGAGTGTGTGTCTGTTTGTGTGTCTGTGTGTGAGTGTGTCTGTGTGTGTGTGTCTGTGTGTCTGTGTCTGTGTCTGTGTGTGTGTGTCTGTGT